CATTGTTGGTGTCAGTGGCAATAATGCTCCATCATTGATGCATACCCCAGGAAATTTTCTGCAATGATGGGGATTTTATGAACAGGGATTTTGTGCAGACCTTGCATTGTTCTGCAAGGTCTGTTTTAAAGTGTGCCATTTCATACGAGCAGCAGCAGATTTTTTTTTACTTCTCTCTACTTCCAAATCAATATGTATATAAACCTTAACAAATAACTCTCTTTTAGTCTGTTAAATATAACAAAATACATTCAATTGTATATCTGTTTAAAGAAAAACTGTTGGTCCTGCCAGAAATTTGTTAAGCCCCTAAATTCCTGTGCTACACTGCCCAGGTCACCTCTGGACTACCTCTGGGTAGGTGTTTTGCGTGTCCTAAGGGGCCAATGCTGCGCCTCAATAGATACAGTTGTGGCCAAAATTATTCAACCCCCACTGAAATTGAGTGTTTTGGCCAGTTTGACATTGCTTTTGATCATTCAGTCATCTTGCTTACATTTACATTAAAGAGGCACTTGTAGGTCAGACAAATATAACATAACAGTTATAATGAAATAACCACAAATGTCTTTTCTGTGCTCACAGCATTATCAGTTTTATTCAACCCCCAAGTGACATTCAATCTTAGTACTTAGTACAGCATCCTTTTACAGTTATAACAGCTTTTAAACGTGAAGCATAGCTTGACACAAGTGTCTTGCAGCGATCTACGGGTATCTTCGCCCATTCTTCATGGGCAAAGGCCTCCAGTTCAGTCACATTCTTAGGCTTGCGCACTGCAACTGCTTTCTTTAAGTCCCACCAGAGGTTCTCAATCGGATTTAAGTCTGGTGACTGCGATGGCCACTCCAAAATGTTCCAGCCTTTCCTCTGCAACCATGCTCTAGTGGACTTGGAGGTATGCTTGGGATCATTGTCCTGTTGAAAGGTCCAACGTCTCCCAAGCCTCAGGTGTGTGACGGACTGCATCACGTTTCCATCCAATATCTCCTGGTACTGAAGAGAATTCATGGTACCTTGCACACACGCTGAAGCTTCCCTGTACCTGCAGAAGCAAAACAGCCCCAAAGCATGATTGACCCTCCACCATGCTTCACAGTAGGCAAGGTGTTCTTTTCATCATAGGCCTTGTTCTTCCTCCTCCAAACATAGCGTTGATCCATGGGCCCAAACAGTTCTAATTTTGTTTCATCAGTCCACAGAACACTATCCCACAACTTTTGTGGTTTGTCCACATGGCTTTTGGCATACTGCAGTCGACTCTTCTTATTCTTTGGAGACAGCAAGGGGGTACGCCTGGGAGTTCTGGCACGGAGGCCTTCATTACGCAGTGTGCGTCTTATTGTCTGGGCTGAAACTTCTGTACCCACATCTGACAAATCTTTTCTCTCAGTTCCTCAGCAGTCACACGGGGACTTCTCTCCACTCTACGCTTCAGGTAGCGCACAGCAGTCGAAGTCAGCATCTTCTTTCTGCCACGACCAGGTAGCGTTTCAACAGTGCCCTTTGCCTTGAATTTGCGAATGATGCTTCCTAAGGTGTCTCTTGGTATGTTTAACATCTTTGCAATCTTCTTATAGCCATTGCCCTTCCTGTGAAGAGAAATCACCTCTTCTCTTGTCTTCCTGGACCATTCTCTTGCCTTCACCATGTTTGTAACCACACCAGTAAATGTCTAGAAGGAGCTGAGTATCACAGTCATTTTAAAGCTGCTAATTGGTGCTTATTATGCTTGATTGCTGCTCGGTGACATCCACAGGTGTTTTCAATACCTGATGGAAAGCACCTGTATGAACCTCTGTTCTTCAGAGTGGTAGTCTTTAAGGGGTTGAATAATTGTGGCAATGAAGAAACCACATAAGAACCATTTACTACTGTATTACATAAACAATTGATGTCATTTTAGTTGCATTTGGGTAGTTACAACGTCCTTGTAGGATTTGATTCTGAATACAATTCCAAATGTACACTATAGTCCCTAAACCCCTTTACAGCATTGGGGGTTGAATAATTTTGGACACAACTGTATAGTACAAAGAATAAGTGTTTGTATCCTGGGACAGCAACTGTGTTATTGGCAGGATCACCAGGAGAAAATGAAAAAAAAAAGATTACTAGTGCACCCACCTTATCTAAGGACTGGTAAGCTGCTCTATATTACATTTTTGTTCTTGAGTTCATACACATAAAATGTTACTAAACCCACATCAGTACAATCAGTCTGTATTTGCAGCAGAGCATGCTTGTTATACTCACTGTGGAACCTAAGGGGTTAATCCTCCGCATTGTGTAAAAAAGGCTGTTTGATTCTGACTTCTCTGATCCTCCCTTCTTCCACAGTCCCCCCAATCCATCTGCTGATAGTACAGAGCCCGAGGAGGCATTATGCACATGCTCAGTTTTGTTTGTATTGCTAGAGAGGTTTTCTTTTCTTTTGGGGGGGGGGAAGGGTGCATGTGATCGGCACAGAGCCAATCAACACTGTCCAGACAGAGGGTCAGGGGTTATGCAGCCTCTTAGGGGAGAATGAGAACTCTTTCATCAACCTTTAACCAGTGCTCTAAGTCACAAGACTGCTCTAACTGCTGATGAGAAAAGGTATTTAGCAGTTTATATTTACTAAAATAATTGCATTTCCATGTTGTGTGTACTGTGGGAGACCAGATATAGTGAATGCAGGGACCAGGGAGACCAGATATAGTGAATGCAGGGTATGGGGAGACCGGATATAGTGAATGCAGGGTCCGGGGAGAGCGGATATAGTGAATGCAGGGTCTGGGGAGACCGGATATAGTGAATGCAGGGTCCGGGGAGACCGGATATAGTGAATGCAGGGTCCAGGGAGACCAGATATAGTGAATGCAGGATCTGGGGAGATCAGATATAGTGAATGCAGGGTCCAGAGAGACAAGATATAGTGAATGCAGGGTCCGGGGAGACCAGATATAGTGAATGCAGGGTCCAGAGAGACAAGATATAGTGAATGCAGGGTCCGGGGAGACCAGATATAGTGAATGCAGGGTCCGGGGAGATCAGATATAGTGAATGCAGGGTCCGGGGAGATCAGATATAGTGAATGCAGGGTCCGGGGAGACCAGATATAGTGAATGCAGGGTCCGGGGGGAGACCAGATATAGTGAATGCAGGGTCCGGGGAGATCAGATATAGTGAATGCAGGGTCTGGGGAGACCAGATACAGTGAATGCAGGGTCCGGGGAGACCAGATATAGTGAATGCAGGGTGCTAGGTTTAGTAACACTTTAAGGCCCACTTTAACAAAGGTCCGTCTGCAGTGCATCTGGGAGGGACAGGTGCAGCATCCAGTCAAAGTCTATGGCAGGCTGCAGCTAGGTGGGGCTGAACGCTGTACTGAGTGCTGCCCACATTTAAGGGCTGATACATTCAGTGATGAATGCCTGGAATTCAGGTCTTCTGAAACCTTCTAGGTAAAATCTCTAAAGTCTCATGTAAGCTGAATAATTTTAATATAATATAATTTTAATATAATAATGATGTTAATATTTAATAATATTAACACGGTATATCAAATGTTAACATCTATAAATATTATGCATATTAAATGTTAATAAATATTGGTGCATTCATAATAATATCAATAAAATTAATAATGATTTTTATAATGTTAATTTAAAGGTTGTTTTCTATTTTTTTAATCAGAATTTTTTTATTAAAATAATCTCTAGTGATCTTTCCATGTCGTCCTCTTATGGGGTCACACCTGTCTCCCAATTTGCTCCCGAATTGTCACTGTGCTACGTTTCCTTGGTGGAGATAACAAGCAGCTATGCACACTTAGTGCAGGAATGGTCCATTGTCACCATCAGGAAACCAATCCAGAGGAATTACATGCAGCTGAAGCTGGAATAAGTGTGTGTAGACAGGAAGTGGCTGAAAGATACTGGATGAGCTCAGCTGCACTGAGATGGTAACAAGGATAAAAAAAAAAAAAAAACTTAAGGTGGAAACAGGATTTTATGAAAACAAAAATGCAATTGTTTCGGATGCCTAGTGCACAGAACAAAATGGATGTCTTCCAGTTAGCGTTTTAGATCTACTTTAATTGGAGCAGGGGATGTAACTGCTCTGCTTGAACTATTGAGATCTGTAAGCAAAAGACTTTTTACATCAAAGAAAACAAACTGAGTGCCTATAAAGTATGAAAAAGAGACTAATGCTCCACCTGTTGGCTCAACAGGAGAATGTAAAAAATAATATGCGTTTCATATTTACTTGACAAGAAAAGCTATTTTGTTTTTTCAATTCTGACTATATTACACAAAATAAACTTATTCACACCAAAATGTGTTAAACTGATCATATTCACATTTTAAATGAAAACTTTTAAAAGGTTGCAGGGTTTTTTTTTTTTTTTACCTAATATTCTTGCAGGGTATGTTTACTGACAGAGTGCAGTGTGGTACATAGAGAACAAATCCATTTGGCTTTATCTATAACTGTCTGGTTCTGTGAAAAATGAGTTTTTTTTCTGACAGTATTATGAATAGGGAAATAAAACTCTTCACGCTTCGATTGAGATAGTGTGTAGATTTGTCAGACACAACGATCTGTGTTCTTTTCACTCTATCTTGTACGCTTTGTGTTGCGGAACTCTGAATAATTCTCTATTCTTCTATTCACAGGACTGTACGTCTAACAATCAGTATGGAACCTCAATAGAAGCTGCTGCCAAACAGCTCCTGAACATAAACCAAGATGTACCCACGTATCCTCCTTATCAGTACTCAGCTAGTTTACACAACCCTAACCGGAGGCAGAAGAAGCCAATATTTCTCAGGCGAGACAATAAAATATACACTGAGCGGAAACTCTTGAAGAAACGCAAGCATTTTCTGTTGAAAGAATCTCCAATTTTGATGCCCATCAACAGTTCTGCTGTGGATCTTTTGAGGTTGGAGGAGGAAGATAGGAACAGTGACTGGAAAAAGCTCTATGAGGTCCAACGGCAGCGGAAAAAACTGATGCAAGACATCTGCTTGAAGTATAAGAGTGGCAGCCGAAGGATTATCACCCCTTATCATGTTTCCAGAATCTTTGTGGAGGACAAGTACAAGATTCTCTATTGTGAGGTTCCAAAAGCTGGTTGTTCCAACTGGAAGCGAGTTTTGATGGTACTTAATGGACAGGCCTCTTCAACCAACGAAATCCAACACAACACTGTCCACTATGGAAACTTCCTCAAGAGACTGGACAGTTTTGACCGCAAAGGGATATTCAACCGACTCAATACCTATAAGAAAATGATCTTTGTGCGAGAACCTTTCGAGAGGTTGGTGTCTGCTTTCCGGGACAAGTTTGAGCATGCCAATAACTACTACCATCCTGTCTTTGGCAAAGCCATCATTTCAAAGTATCGGCGGAACGCCACCAGAGAAGCTTTAAGGACAGGCTCTGGAGTACAATTTAAAGAGTTCATTCAATACCTGTTGGATGTCCATCGGCCAGTTGGGATGGACATTCATTGGGACCATGTGAGCAGACTTTGCAGTCCGTGCTTGATAGATTATGACTTCATTGGGAAATTTGAGAGCATGGAAGAAGATTCTAATTTTCTCCTGCACCTTATAGGCGCTCCCCAAAATTTAACATTTCCTCGTTTTAAAGACCGGCATTCAAACGAGGAAAGGACCAGTAGTAAAATCACACAGCAATATTTTGCAAAATTGTCTCCACTAGAAAGGCAACGGACCTATGACTTTTATTACATGGACTATCAAATGTTCAATTACTCCAAGCCTTTTGAAGACTTGTACTGATCATGAAACATGGAGAATGTGTTTTCTAGAAAACGTCCGCTGGGGGGAATGAGGCAGTGTTACAGACCGATAATTTCAGCTCACAAAACTCTGAAAAATCTGATCAGTTCATATTTTTACTTCTCAAACTTTAAGCAGCTATTACGGAGGGATATTTTAATACCACTGTCCCCATGATATTTCAGTAAACTCAATCAATTTGGATACCGTTTCTATAAAAGTTACATTTATTTAAGGGTTAATTCACACTTGCTGATCCTTCTAAAATTATTTCTGCTCTGAAAGAAAATATTTAACTGAAGATTTATTGTATAAATTGTATTTTTGTTGGGTGAATAAAGTTGTTTTTGGAAAAAAAAATTAAATAAAAAGGGCTAGATTTTTACTGGGGCAGTAGACTTTTTTGAATAAAGAACTGTCAATATTGTGTACCATGACAGCACATAACAGTGGTATCAATACACAGGTGAAGTAATTAAAGAAGAATTCCAGGTATGGATATTTTTACTTAGTTATATTGGTCCATCTGGGTGCAATAATAACCCCCAGCATTGGTGGTAATAGATGCAGTAATAACCCTCAGTATTGGTGTTGGTGGATGCAGTAATAACCCCCAGCATTGGTGTTGGTGGGTTCAGTATTAACCCCCAGCATTGGTTTTGGTGGGTTCAGTTATAGCCCCCAGCATTGATGTTGGTGGGTGCAGTAATAAATCCCAGCACTGGTGTCAGTGGATGCAATAATAACCCCAGCATTGGTTTCATTGGGTGCAATAATAACCCCCAGCACTGGTGTAAGTGCAGTAATAACCCTCAGTGTGTGTAGTAATAACCCACAAAATTGGTATAAGTAGGTTCAGCAATAGCCCACAGCATTGGTGTCAGTGGGATGTAGCAAGAAACCCCCAGCACTGTTAGTGGGTGCAGTAATAACCCCCAACACTGGTGTCAGTGGGTGCAGTAATAACCCCCGGCATTGGTTTCAGTGGGTGCAATAATAACCCCCTGCACTGGTGTCAGTAGGTGCAGCAAGAAACCCCCAGCATTGATGTCATTGGGTGCAGTAATAACCCTCAGCATTGGTATCAGTGAGTGCAATAATAACCCGCAGATTTGGTGTCAGTGGGTGCAGAAATATCCCCCCGCATTGGTGTCAGTTGGTGCAGTACTAACCTCTAGTATTAGGCTCCTTTTATACACAATGAACTCTATCCTGGTCAGCAGGGGATTCGCTTACAGATCCCCTGCTGATCAGGGCAAAGCGGGCAAATGACACATTTGTGTCCGCTCTCTTTATGCAGAGCGGGCACAGACAAAGCCCACTCTGCTCTATGGGCTACCGGGTGTAAACGGATCCAATGTCCATTTATACCTGACCACCAGAAGTGGGTGCAGTATGAAACCCCCAGATTGAGTGCCTTTTTGGTGTCAGTGGCTGCACCTGCCCTAGGTCTATCCATTAAATGTATGTGCCTCTACTATGGGGACTCAAATTTGTAGAGTTAGGACCACAGAATATCGGGGTGCCATGACGTGGCTCTGTGGCTTACGTATGTATTTGCAAATGTGTGCTAACTAAACCCGTTTTTAAACGCATACTGTTGGCAAGCTGGCTGGCGAGTTGATTTTTGAACCCTTTTTTTTTATTTTTTACTGACATGCGTTGCCCGGTTCACGTAGTCCTTGCTTCATAAGCCAGTTATAGACCTGGGCAGGTGCCATGTTTTATTTACAGGAGATTACTCCACCTGAAAAAGCAAGATCTAGAGCAGGGGTCCTCAAACTACGGCCCGCCGTGGACATTTATCCGACCCGCCGGGTGTTTTGTAATATCCAGCGCACACAGGAGATACAAAATTCACTGCCTCACCGGCCCCGCCCCTCACCCACCACCAAGCCATCGTTATGGAGATGACAGGATGGGCGGGGCTCGCACAGTTCCCAGTATGCCGCAGTGGCACGATTAGTTCCCCTATGAAGATGTGTGTCCCTGACGCATCTGCACATGTCACGGTTTTCGGCAGAAGTAGCCGATCGCCGATCAACAACCATAGCACAGATCTGTTACAGTTAACCCCTTTTCTGCTGCACCGCTGATTACACTTACACACGCCGCTCATCCCGCTGATCACTAGCTGCCGATGCTCCAGCAAGATGGATCAAAGATGCGTATTGGGGAGCATCATGGATCGGAGAGAGGACAGTTACATGGGGGGGGGGGGGGGTTGTGACATGGGGAAGACACTGACATGTGGGGGGGGTCAGTGACATGGGGAAGACACTGACATGTGGGGGGCTAGTGATATGTGCTGAGGACAGTGACATGTGTGGGGTTCAGTGACATGTGCGGAGGACAGTGACATGTGTGGGGGTCAGTGACATGGGGGGGCTGTTACATGCGGAGGACAGTGACATGTGGGGGGCCAGTGATGTGCTGAGGACAGTGACGTGTGGGGGTCAGTGACATGGGGGGACTGTGACATGGGGGGCCAGTGACATGTGCTGTGGACAGTGACATGTGGGGGGGTCAGTGATGTGCTGAGGACAGTGACATGGGGGGGGTCAGTGACATGGGGGGACTGTGACATGTGGAGGACAGTGACGTGGGGGGCCAGTGACATGTGCTGTGGACAGTGACATGTGGGGGGGTCAGTGACATGGGGGGGCTGTGACATGTGGAGGACAGTGACATGTGGGAGGACAGTGACATGTGGGGGGGTCAGTGACATGGGGGGGCTGTGACATGTGGAGGACAGTGACATGTGGGGGGCCAGTGACGTGCTGAGGAAAGTGACATGTGGGGGGGTCAGTGACATGTGCTGAGGACAGTGACATGTGTTGGGGTCAGTGACATGGGGGGGCTGTAACATGCGGAGGACAGTGACATGTGGGGGGCCAGTGACATGTGCTGAGGACAGTGACATGTGGGGGGGTCAGTGACATGGGGGGGCTGTGACATGTGGAGGACAGTGACATGTGGGGGGCCAGTGACATGGGGGGACTGTGACATGCGGAGGACAGTGACATGTGGGGGGCTGTGACATGTGCTGAGGACAGTGACATGTGGGGGTCAGTGACATGGGGGGGCCAGTGACGTGCTGAGGACAGTGATGTGTGGGTGTCAGTGACATGGGGAAGACACTGACGTGGGGGGAGGGTTCAGTGACATGGGGGGGCTATAACGTGAACAAAACTGCGGGTGTCATTAACTTTTTTTTTTAAACTATAGTCCAGCCCTCCAACGGTCTGAGGGACAGTTAACTGGCCCCCTGTTTAAAAAGTTTGAGGACCCCTGATCTAGAGCAATGAGGAGAAATCAGGAAATTTCACATCAAGCTTGTTGTTTTTTTTCACAAACTTTTTTTTCTATTATTACAACATCAGGACTGATAATATGATTAGGAATCAAACCAACTACCACTCCCACTTTCTTCAGGAAGGTCTCAGACTGGCCGGTCTCTTTATCTCTAGAATAGATGCATGTGAGAATCCATCATAACATCAGATAAATCCTTGCAATGTCTTTTAATGACCTGAAGAGGGTGTTTTTTTCTCAACAACAAAAGTGGAATCTTTCTTCAATGTGAATTACAGCTTCATTGTTTCACGGATAGTGTTAGTGGCCCCCTGGCTTATTTCACTTTTTCCCCTAGATAAGCTTTTCTCAACCTTTTTTTACTCCAGTGGAACCCTTGGAATAATTTTCAGGTCTAGGAAAACCCCTGCTCAAAAATTCTTCAAATGTTAGTGAGAAAAATGTCCCTTACATTGGTGCTCGGTGGGCAGAATTTTTGATTATACAGGATTTATATACCGCCAACAGTGTGCCCAGCACTTTACAAAACAAAAGTAGACAGTACAGATACAATACAATACAATTCAAGTCAAGAGGGGTAATGCCTAGCACACACGATGAGAAAATTGGACAAAAAAAAAAAGTTTTCGGACTGATCCTTCAATAATCTGATCATTAGTGCACAGCTTTTGGGAACCGATCCTGACAATTCAAGTGAAATTATCCGTAGGGGGAAATGCGCACATTTTTTTTCTCATAAGATAACAGAATGAACGATTTTTCAATGAATCAGTACAGTATTCGTCCGTAAAAAATCAACTGACCAAGACTGCGCATGCTCGGAAATGAAGGAATACATTACAATACAATACATTACATCATCGCAGGAAGTTGTATTCTGTCTTACGAGATTTTTCAGAACTCTAGTAACTTATTAATTTTTGATATGAGACTAGCATGCCAAAAAAGAAAACAAATGGACGATCATTCTTCCGATATTCTCATCGTGTGCACCAGGCTTAAGTTAAGGGTTTTGTTTCTTTTTAATGTACCCCTCCTCTGTCTTCTCTCTCACCTCAACCCCCCCCCCCCCCCCCATAACTCTGGGATTGTGAAATCTCTGTGCATGCACACGGTCCTGAGATTTCTATGTCACTGTTCTTGAGAGGAAGACCAAAGGATCCCACACATTAGCAGAGGCGGCACGGCATGTCTGCCAGTTTACTGGCAGGGGTCTGCAGTGTGTCTGTACATGCAAAAGGGGTCCGGCGTGTACGCAATCACGCCACGGGGCTCTGCCAGGTCCCATAGACCTGGCAAAGATCCCCATATTGTGTCTGTGTATTCGTCAGAAATTAATTCAAGGTGGTGCAAAGAGGACCAGTGTAGGGAGAAGTTGCTCTACAAGCAAGACAATGCTGGACTCCCATTGACTAGTATGTTTTTTTTACTTTTATACAGGGACAATTTTTGAGATTTAAATTGGTTGTAAACCTTTACATATACCCAGTGAAGGAATTGGCCTCAGGTGATACACAGAGATTAAACAAATCATCTTACATAAGTTGTACCGGTTTATCTGTAGCCACCTCTTCTCTACAACCAGAGTGCAGAATTTGCACAGGATCTCTCTGCTCTGAAAGGCGGGGGGCGGAAGTTACATCAGTGAGGAGAGCTCTGAGAGCTGATTGGAGGGAAGGGACACC